GGGCTGATATTCTAGCGTACACGGTATAACCAACTGTACCGTACATCTTAACATATAACCCATACTTTTCGTCTGCGCTGATGCTGACATTGCTTGTAATTTGATGTGTGTAGATCCTGACTTCAAAGTTCTCAGTGGCTGAGTATAAAAAATATTTCAGGAAATCAGTTATCCACAGTGTACTTACCACAACACGTTGTCGTAACTTGAAGAAAATGGCTTTTGTTGTGTTTTTGTTTATCGTATTTCACAGCCTTTAGGTAAGGTATTTTACAATATCTATCACAACTTTTTTAGCAGGAAATGAAAATTGTCGAGTGGAAATTGCGCCACTGTAACCATTGTTCCTTTCTGTTTGTGATTTCACATTTGAGCGACGTTCATTAGACTTGCCCAAGTCAGACTCTCTTTCACTCCCAGGAATGAGTGAATATTGAGCGCAAGCGCGGTTCAGTGGCAAGCCGCAATGCGGAACGAGCGAAAAACGGACTTTGCGAAAGTCGAGACGTTCATGTAAGCGATAAACAACGCATTTTCGTGCGTTCCTGATGAAATAAACCACGCGGGATTTTCGGGAGAACACGAATAAGGCGTAAAAAATCTCGAGCCGGAGGAAATAAATTTTCAGTCTTTTGAGTGTTTTCCCAATATATTCCGCGTGGTTTATTTCACCATGAGCGCACGAAAATATGTTGTTTATTGCTTTTAATTATAGCATTAATTTCGCATCAGTGCGTTTATCGGTGAAATAAACAATGGCATTTGACCAATCAGAGAGCGCGTACCATGATAKCTATMATAGAAAAGTTGTTATATGTGCACTCACCCGCTTTGACAAAGGARGCTTTGCCAATGACAACCACCAAATAGATAAGACAAACAGTCATTAWCATGACAGTCTAAAATGGACGAGAGATGACATTTTGAAATAATGCAATAATAATTTCTTTAAAATGTGTTAGGGTACTGACGCTATGACCATGCGTACACTTACCATAACATTTCCTGTACAATAGCCTTCTTCACGGTTACCTGCGCCAACTTGAAAGGTAGCCGTGCGACTTTGCACCTAAGTGAGACGACTATTGAGCGTGGAATGATAGAAATCTTATTTCACCATGCACCTACACGTATCTATCATTGCACGCTCAACSGTCGTCTCACTTAGATGCAAAGTCGCACGGCTACCTTTCAAGATGGCGCAGGGAACCGTGAAGAAGGCTATTGTACAGGAAATGTTATGGTAAGTGTGATRATGTAAGAGGCACGGCTATATACCTTTCAAGACGGCACATGCAGTGTACCAGCAACATCACGCTACCCATCCTAACACAAAGGTTACAAATGTCTTACGCTACTAAGCTTTATTGCATCGCAAACACATAACATTTTAACATCTTCTGAAAATCTTTTCATATTACACTATATAGGTCAAGGRTGTGCTAGTTTATAGTTACAAGATCTAAATACAGTTCTCTTAAAAGGAGTGACAGTCCCTTAGTCAATATTTCACCGATTTGTTGCAAATGAAAAATGAATGAGGTATGAATGAGGTAGTTTTGTCTTCTTACCTTGTGAATACAGGTTTAGGACCTGTGCTTCCTTGTAGAATAGTCGTGATATGGTTGATGTGTTTCCAGAAACGAGTGCACAATTTTACCCTTTATGCTTCTGATACAACGAGTAGGAAAAATTAATAACGTCTTTTAAGACACCAAGTAAAAAACAACCTTCAAGATATATACCTATCTTTTTTAATAAAAAGGCGACGATTTATAATGAATATTTGCTTTTCTACACATAGACGTCTCAGGATCAAAAAATCAATCRKTTATAWTAAAGACCTTGAAAACCCTGATATGACTGCAAAAAGCCATTCTATTGGTCAACAAATGTAGCTAAAGTCCATTTATGATTGACATAGTGGTCCAGCTGTTTAATTCAACGCCGCAGTTTAGCAGATGTATATACTWACCTTTTATACGAACCAATAGCTGACAAAACCAGTAAATGACGAACTTGAAATGAATGATCAACGTGCAACAATTTCTACAGGCGGGTACGAAGGGCCAATATTGACCTTATAAGCCTGACAAAACTATAGCCGAAAGAAGGTAAAATGTCGATTATCCAAAGTTCGGTTAGCAATACTCTRCTAGTTAGTCTTATTAGTACCACATGACAAGAAATGACAGATCATTTTCATTATAATGATACGAATCGCACATTACAATTAAAAAGAGCCATATTTACAGTAGCTGTAGTAAGTGACAAGCGATATAAATTACATCTCAAAACCTGCTAAGCTTTTCCATGCCCAATTTCCCTAGAGTCTCAAGTACTGTCTGCTTGTAATCAGTTTTAAAAAAGTCACGTTATCACTAGAAAATGTGTCTCGAGCGAGCGAATTACTGTTACACAAGGCATTCAAAAGTGAGTAGTATATTGTGTACAGAATTAACCTGAAAGTGGAGGGAGGAAGATTGTGTCGTCAGTGGAGAGGACTTTCCCGGTCCCAAACCGTCCACACTTCGACCTTACATCGAACCGTCGATATCATGTCGATATGTGATCCATGATCCTATAATTTGAATAATATATATTATAATGATCATTTTATTGAGTRATATTCAAGGTCATCCCTCCCCTCTCCCCAGGGTATTTTTATTGTCCTAAGGCAGTGACATCTCATTATAATAAACGTTTTGTTTTATTCTCAAACTATTTAGTAAATCTCTCCACACGGAGCCCTAAAACACGGCTTGATATCGAACTAATAACCAGTGGTAATRGTAATGTGACACCTTATCAAACACTAACAAGGAGGAAMRATTAAGTGTTTATCCAATTTGAGACAAATCGATTGGCGGCATTAATTGCAGCTACTCGAAAATATGTAACATTTGACTTCATCTAGTCTTTCGGTGAGAGCACTTCTAAACATCTGTTCACAGTTTTACGGTTGAACCTTGGGGTGTTTTTAACAAATCCAGATCAGYAAATTAAGCTCCYAAGAAGAATTAATCACGATTTGAATAAAAGACCACTGCTGTTATTAAGCGTTGTAATTTGTAAACATTYCAAGGTCATGGGGTCTCAAATGACTTTTACTGATAAAAATTTAAAAAGAGTTCAACTTAAGATAAAATCTACATAACATTGTTTCATGCCAAGAGAGAGAATGTTGTTTTTTAAAAAATAGAAGAATCACGCWTGGATTGAAGGCGTTCATAAGGAAACATTCAACAGTCTGTGGTAGGTTTAGTACAAAAAGCCGCTACAAAGCGAGACTGCAGTACATTGTCCTTTATACGAACGAGGAATCCTACGACCATATCTGTAAATTTGAACTTTGGTTACAAGCCTTGTGTATTATAATATAAGCGATAGCCACACTGAGCCTCAGTATCAGAAAGAAATCAAGACAATACACAGCAGTTAGTCAAGAAATGGTGTWTTTGAATGATTCWACAACAGAAACTAAAGCCAACGCCCAAGAAGAAAGCTGGATATTAGCGTTTATATTCATATCCCATGGRATAATAAGTGTTCTCGGGATATTAGGTAATGTACTGGTACTTAAGGCTATAGTAAGCAACAGAAGACGTAAAGTCAGTGACTACYTAATMGTGAATCTWTGTGGAACTGATYTGGGTGCATGTACAGTAAGCATTCCATTGGATTTAGTGGAGCGCGCTTGGAAGTCTTTTCCATTTGGGTCATTTCTCTGTAAGATAGTGTATCCTTTCCAAACGATCTTAATGGCTTCCTCRGTSATGACACTATTGGCAATGAGCTATGAACGTTATCGTATGATTGTTACGCCATTTAAGCAGCATATAAGGCCTAGAACTGCTATATGTACTATAATAGTGGCATGGCTGATATCTATWTTATTGGTAGTACCCTATATGCTTGTGTTGCAACTCGAAGGAAACCAATGTCTAGAGAACTGGYCGCTTGATATCCACCGAAAGGCCTTCACTTTAAGTATATTTATACTCCTTTACGCCATTCCTATGTTTCTAATCACTGTTTCATATACACGCATTGTAAGAAACCTGTACCAGGACTCCAAAAGACAAGTTATAGAATGCTACTCCATCAGCAGTGACCGAAGCGAAAGACGAATCGCAATGATGATAGCAAGAGTTCAGCGTAATATGCGAGTTGTGAAAGTATTYATGGTCGCSGGGATAGTATTTGCGGTGTGTATGCTCCCAACCCATATATGTTGGCTATGGCATGAYTACGGAAGCGGATCAACCAATGTACACTTTACTAAAATAGTGACATTCACAAACGTTTTAATGTACTTGAACAGCGCTATTGATCCATTTATCTTCGGTTCGTTGAAACTRCAGAGACTGTTTTTTGATGTTATTTGCTGCCGCATTTGTAGGGATCCAGAGAGAGAGTTTTTTACTCTTCGAACCGCGAATAAAACAATGGAAGAAAGTGCGACAGATAACGAAACGGATCGGAAAATCTCGCAGTCTAGTAATCGATAACCCATCGGAGGTGTCTCGACGTATTATACATTAGCTGATGCACTGCAAGRGCTCCAGAGAGGGTCTTAGTTAGAGCTGCGAGTAGAACATTAGGAGTTATAGAAAATAACAAAACACCAATCGAAAAMTCTTCGTGAATAATCGACAATTTAACGGATCTGACTCGACAATCCATCGGATCTGACATTTATCAAAAGTACTACTAGAGGAAACTCATTCTTTTGTTTCATTTTAATAGGGTATCGTCTATACATATATTTATATACTCTCCATTGGAAATTTGATTAGAGCAAATTCACTCTTTCAATAATTGACAAAATTCGAACACGAGGATAAATGTGCTTACCCTCGATACCTCGCAATGACGCGATTTTTTTCAATATATAATTAAACTCCAATACATTATCAGGTAATGTCGTATGTACAATTTACCTACAATCATTTCAACTAATATTCAATAAATTAAGATATACATTCCATTGCATTTTAGTCATGTAGTGTATGACGCCAAACACGACAACTGAATTGTGAAATAAAATGATRACGTCATAGCAAAGACAATGACGTCAAAAAAGAAAGTGACGTCATATGCCTATTTACAGTCATGTATGTGAGGAAGGTGGACGTCGGGATCAATAAACAAGAGTTCGTTGGCCTTTTGCAGCAGAATAGCTTGTGACATGCATGGGACTAAACGATTCAAATTCATCATAAAAATGGGAATGGTTGTGCAGTTTCTACAACAAAAACTTAGCAGTAGCTCTCTGTGAAATTTTGAATGGGTCATAAACAATGCAAGCACTACAACTCCATCATGCTTTGCTGCCCAAAATGGCGTCTCTGCACATTGTCTAATGACCTCAAATCATTGGAAATCCTTAAGGGAATCGTCTCCAATCTCTGAAAATCTATAGGTACAATGTCGTAAAYTTACAAAACACAACTTAACTTGAAATAACAAAGAAGCATGACCTTTCAAAATGGCTATAATACGTGATAAGTATTTATCTCCAAATGGGTTTCCTGTGCTTAGTAAAAATCCACAGGGAGCCCACGAAACGTAATGCTTCTTTGTCATAACCAAGTCTCCAGTACTCCGTTATCKAGCTCTTTGGTTGTTTGCAATACAGAGGTATCTGGAATATCCGAGCAGGAGTGTGAAAACTGAAGGAGCCTGGACGTCTCGTCCTCATCCCAGTACATTGCTTGTCGCTTGGACTTATTTCTGTTMCCACGTGAYCTTCGAATGACGACTTGCTGTTCTTCGTGAATCGACATGTCTTCGCTGTTAAACCCTCGTTTTAAGTCCGCATTTCTACCAAGGCTGAAACTCTTTTGTTGGAAGTTGTCTGCCYTTTTGTTTAGCTTATTGAATGATATTTTTTCCTCCGAGAAACATCTCGAGTTCGATGATTTGTAACTACCGCATCTCTGCAATATCCCATTGGACTCCGGTTGAGGGTCGTAAAATCCATTACACAGYGTTAAACACGATTTATCTTGTAAATACGTAACCGTTGACGCGTACGATACGCAAGCGTTCGTTGTCACTCTAATAGGATTTGAATTATCCACAAAACTTTTACAAACAATTGAATTCGATTTGCCACTGTTTATGATCTCATTCGGCGATGATAAACACTCATCCGGCGAAGATAAGCAATATAAATCGTAAGAATACGAAGCTGAGTCGACCATGACGTATTCGAATGTTCGTGGTGGCTTCGGAGGGCCGACGGATCCCCGCGATGGAGTCCGAATGGCCTGACTAGTACCATTAATACCTGAATTAAATCCATCTAATCCTGGAGATGTGTTCCGCGTCGTTTYGCTAAAGGAAGACAAAGCACCATTAATTACCGACGAATTCCCGACCACTGCCGAAGAATGAGTCGGGCTTCTTGAATTTGAAGTTCCATTTAATGCCCATTGCCCTGAATTTTCAGACGCAAATGTCCGTGGTGGTTTGGGCGGGCCTTTCGTCATATCGAGAGACTTCGAAGACGGTAGAGTAGGTATCGAGAATGTTTTATCAATTTGTCGAGACGTGTCRAATAATGTCGGTGTTGTACACAACGATTGCACAGCAAGAGGAGAAATRAGGTTGTCACATTTAGACTGRGAACGTGAGAAGTGTAAAGAATYAAGACTTTGTTCAACTACGGGGAGATTAAAGTCCTTCCAGGTTGCTGAAATACGAGAAGAAGCCGCACTCTCCTCCCAGTCCGAATCGTCGAACGTGCTTTCTGGACGCGCAAGTGGTACTTTAGGAGACTCTGAATTGCGTGCGTACGGGGRACAAATTTCCTTTCGGTCTTTGAGTGTTTCTGAGAAGAAAAGTAATAGATATTCAATACAATAAACTTCWTTAGCTTGGGTATGATACATATCGGATCACGTGTCAAACCCTTGMGTAAAAGTACGTATCAATAYGSAAGATGTAATTATTGCTTAAGAACGTGTTAGTACGTATAATTACGTACCACCATGTATCAACGGTCCAATTAGACATTATTACGTTAGTAACGCAAGAACGCATCATTACGTATCATAACATTATATCTTATACACCCTTTTAATAAGTCCCGAGGTATTGTGTTCTCCGCACTTGACGTCAAATTTATTCTTTTGAATTCCTTTTGTATTGTAAAAATTTCAAAAGAATAAATTTGACGTCAAGTGCGGATAACTCGATCTACACTACGCGATATTAACGTACTATAGCAACGCAAGAAAGGGATGATTTCAAGGGAATGACACGTAAACTGATACGATAAATTCCATCATGCCTGTGTTAAAGAGGTCTAGAGTGTCATTAGTACAAGTACATATGGCCAGAAAACTATCGTGGTGCATAGGCAAACGCTATTTACATGTTACGACTTTCACTCGACACAAGTGGTACATTTTCTACGGCAGAAACTTTGCAGTCAAGTCAAATTATTCGGAGCTCTAATGTATCGTTATTGCGAGCTTTTCATTGCGAAAAAATATAGCTGAAGGCAAGGAATGAAAGGGTTGCTTTWGGGAGGACAGAAACAAAGGTTTGTTAGGGGGGATTCCCCAGGAAAAAAGTGTACACATCGTTACGATAAACGTTTACGTAAAAAAAAACGTAAATGTTGAGGCATTAAAAGGAGTCGGGTTCCTAAATTAACAACTCTGGTCCCCTAAATCTACCCCAACCTCTACTCGACAGCCCCTGCATGCATTTTGGAGGAAGGAGGAAAAAAGGTTCAAAATGATAAATAGAATGGGGTTAATATTTCAAAAAAGTACATTAAAAAGTGCAATCGAATAAGGGAAGAAAAGCATAAAACGCAATTTACTYTTACATCAAAGTAACTGCTGCGCAAGTGGAATACGTGCGTTTTGCTTGCGTTTMTATGCGTGTTTAAAGTGCAGTGCATACTATTATGAACTCAAACGCAACCCCACGTACAATACGTAACAAATTATAAATAATCATGTTGGGTATGTAATCCTCGAGAACATCTAGTTTGGACATTGTTAGCTAGCGATGATTAATTTAACAACCCTTTAGTACGATATTTTTACCGCTTTAATGCCAATTACATGTTCAAAAAAAAACAAAAGTTATTTATTAAAGATTTACCGATACGGCAACGCTTTATGAAGATGACTTTATCATTCAGCCGTTAGATCTTTAAGATATTTTTACGTGATTAGATATTTTACGTTTTGTCATTATTAGGTTTAAACACTTAAGTGCAATATCGTTAAAACATTAGGTAAACCTCATTACAAAAACGTTGTCATCATAGCCTGCGTAGCGGCCCTAAGGGGATTGGGGAGGGCCGGCCGAGCGGGAAGTGGGGAGGAAACTTCCTATTTTCCTCCCCACTCCCCGCTCGGCCGGCCCTCCCCAATCCCCTTAGGGCCGCTACGCAAGCTATGTCATCAAGGAAGAAAGCACTTTTTTGTACTTCAGCAAAAAGGAATTCGTCAAAAAATCAAAAGAAAGTCGTTCAAATTGAATGCTTTCGTTCCTTTTTACTTCAGTACCATTCTCCCTCTTCTTGCTGGCAAAAACACAGGAAGCCCGTGATTCTTAGTGATGCCTGGGGAGGGGTGTATAAAGTAAAAATATGACAACGTTTTGTTAATGTATTAACACGAGTTAAAAGATTAAAATATTACAACTAATTGATGTTTATATCTGGAATGAGACAGATAAAAGAGGAGATGACTGATATGCGGTTTTTATGGTTAATAATTTATAAGAGTTTTTAGTGTTTTACAAGAGCATTTATTAACCTCCTCCGCTAGCATCCCTCTTACTAATCCTGCTCTTAAAGACCTAACACAGGAAGCCCATTTCAGACAGGAAAGAGACGGTTGCGGAGGGGGCTATGTATTTTACGTTTTTACAGAGGAGTTCAATCATACCTGAGGTTACTATAAAGCCGTTTCGTTGACTGATTCGTAACTGCTGCTGAGAATGTCAGACGGTACGTCTATTGCCACATCTAGTGCGTACCACAAATGAAATACAAGTAGAATATAAACAAATAGTAACAAGATAACATGCACGTTGACAAGCCTAAAGGACACTGGTTCTATTTCTAGTACCAAAGTTTATCGATTTCATCAGGGAGTCGAATGTTTACTGTTAATGGACAAGAATGTATTTTCTGGTAACAGTATTTAGTGTAAACATTAGAATATTATTCTTTAAGAATTAAACAATATTTCATGAAATTTCCCAAAAAAATGTCTTCAGGAATTTGTAAGCTGTTTTTGTTTTTTAAATCGGTTTATACWGAGAGCATTAGAATAGCCRACTTCCGAATTTTGCCTCAGYAGTCACACACAAAGGAATCAAGACGAGGCGCCGTGCAGAAAGCTCAGTCATTCGTGMAAAKACAATAGTTTTTCACAATTGACTGAGCTTTATGTACGGCGCCTCGTCTTGATTCTTTTGTCTTTCACTACTGAGAAGAAATTCGMAAATCGGYTATTGCGTTTTTCGCTGTTTTAGTTTTTCTTTTTCGTGATATTATTATCTATATTCGACCGTTATCTCTAAATCATATTTTACCTTATATAGTTATAATRACATTACTGTAATCATATGGAGAATAAAAGAAAGAAATGGCTTTTTGATACCACCGTTTACCTCGTCAAAATCGGTTTACTCGGTGATTAAATACTAGGATAACAATCATTAAAGATTAAAGCTTAGAGGGGTTCATTATAGAGTGATCACGCAAAAAACGAAGGTGCGGTTTCCCTGCAGAATGAGTTTGGTTCACACAGGATACGAGTAAAAGACTGAAAGGAATGTCTTAAATGGCTCACCCTGTGGTGAAGTATGAATAACAGAAGCCAGTTGTACTACTAAAGGTGAATAGCAATATTCAAAGGATAAATCCTCATCCAGCAGATAAAATCCAGCCTTCATGCAACTAACCCCATGATGATGATGATGGTGATGATGATGATGATGATGATGATGATGATGATATACGATCATGCGTAATTAATAACCGAGTACGTGCAATTTACATTTAATGCGCATACCCTTATAGTGTGAACCGCTGCTACATTTCCCGTAATGCAATATAGCTCATTCGCATAAATGGTAAGTATGCTTTGGTGCATGAGTTTCAGGGTGTCGACGGATGTCGGCATGAATATAYCGGCTTTACTTGATATTATTTCGACTCCTTATGTCTACATGTGATTTTGCACTGTCTTGCTGTGAAACGTGATAGCAATGATGATAATACGTGGGTTAATCTGTTTAAATAATAAATGCTGCTTTATTTATAAGCTTAATGTAAGCATTAAGTCCTAGTGTTCATATTGATGTCCTTATCGATCAAAAATGCGTATTTGCACTGTTTTGTTTCCTTGAAGGAGCTAAAAAAACAGCAATTCGGACGACTTTATTAACACAAGGTCTTAGAGAATGAAAATAAATATCATTTGTAACGCAATGCAACGGCTGGTTATTAAAATGCGTCTTTTTAACAGCTTGCTCGCAGGTTATTACAATTAGGTGCAAAATGACTCTAAAAAAAGAGGGGGGAAAGAAACGTTTGGGACTTTTCTGCATAATTCAATTCAAGGGGCTGAAGCGTAATCGATGTTGAAAGTTGACCTTCGACCATGTGAACAAACATTGCTCAGCGTAAAATTGATTTRTAAACATATTTTCAAAACCTTTAACAAACATTCTGAAACAGCACGATCAAGTGTTCGAAAGAGATCAGTCGCCAAAAGATCTGCTCGAGAACCACTTAACACATTAGTTCATTTTTGGAATATTCGCTCGATCTTGTGTTCCAGAACACTAGACTAGAATGTTAAATATTTTAAAAGGCAATTACGTTGATGTGATCAAACGTTCCACAAACAATCTMATAACAAACATTGCTTTAGATAAAAGCGACGGTATTTCAGAAATGCGTCGAGGAAGTCAAGCAATGTATACGTTATTTCGAATGATCGATGAAGTGTTCTGATCGAGTGTTCTATTTAAGAGTTAAGACTTCATTATGTGAGCTATTCAAGGGAAATTACAATAAAACGTCAACGTACAATAACTGTACATCGAAGAYATTKCGGATTTTGATAACAGACGTATAACCTTGTCAAAAAGCTATGTCGTTTTCGTTGCGGTTTATATCTGGGTAAAATAAAACACTGTAGGGTCAAAATTTAATAACACATATGTCCCCTATTCATGAATATGGACCGCTTGACAGACAAATATCATTAAAACTTACCAATACTCAACGAATCCTTGGATTCAGCATTGCTGAGATTCTTACTGGCAACCTCGGCTGTGGATGAATTGAACAATGAACGCTTACGTTTGTAGAAATACTTTAGTACAATCATCGCTTACGGGTCGTAACGGAATCGTTTCATTAAACGCAAGGTATACAGATWTATACGTGCGAAAAATGAACGCTTTGATTRGAAAAGAACGTTAAAATGGAAGACGTTTTWCACAGATGGAGAAGCGAAGCTGCGGCGGTGGAATTTGTTTAAGAGGTTTCTGTACGTCGACAGTGGTTATGAATTAGACATGACCTATTACCTCTGTTAACTATGTCACGCATATCAGATCTCGGGTAATTAYTGTACAGCCCCATGACTTAAATATGGCCGCCCAGGGTCTACTWATAAGTGAAATCAAAGGTACAAACACGAAAGAAACAAAAAATAAGAAAATGGTGTGAAATTGTTTCAATTAACGTTAATAACTGGAAATTATCGACTAAAAGCAAAAATATATAATGACTGATAGTGAAAACGCGGAAAAAACACAAGTCAAACAAGTCAAAAACACAAGAAATGAAACGATTAAGTAAGGATAATTAGCGATTTCTTACAATTTGAACAAAATTCAAAAGTCAATGTATATCAACGTCAAAGGACGCTAAAGAAAACAAAGGAATAAAAGACTAATAATGTGGATTAGCCTGCTATCTATTTCACTACCGGTTTTAAGAGATATTAAGATACAATTCTACATATTCACCTGTCATTTGTGAGTTCCAATTCTAATCTTTTCACGGCTATCAATAACTGCTATAATCACCGAATGTATTACCAATATAACACTATCATGAGCGCTGAAACCCATTGTAKAAAAATATAACCGTACAAGGTGTGGCCTACAAAACCTATTGCTGAAAGTAGGCACCRAAGACAATAGACAAGGCGAAATACTGGTGCCAAGGTGCACGTTAGCTAGAATAAAACAAACAAAAGGAAASGCTAAAAAAGGAATACGATGCGTAAACCAATGGAAAACGTAACATCAACTTCATTTTTAATACGCTAGWATAAAACAATTAGCTTCCTTGTACGTAGCAAAGTCTAAAAATATACGTGCACATCAAATGATACGAACAGCAGTTAACGATAAACGTCACATTAACTTTAGAATACGTTAGAATAAAATACGATTAGCTTCTTTGCGTAGGAAAGGCTAAAAATAAATCCGCGCATCAAATACTGCGTCGTTGATAACATAAAGTGGATGAAAAAGGTTACAACTAAATTTTTAATACGTAAAATTCAAACAAATAAATTTTATGCGTAGGAATAGAGACTGAAAAAAGAATGCGCATATCAAATGTGTAATAATATAATCGGTAATTCTCCAAAAGTAACAGCAAAAATTCTAATAATTTCCCCAAAAAACTTGATAAACAATAGAGGACAATTGTAATGTCTAGTTAATTTGAAGATGATAGTTGTTCTATCGAAATGAGAGTGGTTCATTTGAAATTTCTTTTAGTATTCGTTCAAATCACTAATGAATAATACAGCAGCACGGAATAAATGTCAAATGAATCTTTTACTTCATCACGAACAATCTGCGATGCCGGAGGTCTACTTACAGGTCTTACTTACATCAAAGTTTGATGATTATAAATATTAATGAATGATTATTACTAATTCTCCTTCCCAAATGATGTCATTTGTGAGAATCGAGGTACAAGATTATCAGAAATTAATATTTTCCCGGCATGTGGCGTAATGCTCGCGCGGTTGAAGTATGAGGGGCGCCAAGAGTGGTATAAATAGATTGCGTGGTGCGCGTGGTCAACTGGCTACGGTCAGCCTCGCCATAACAGAGTTAAACYCAAAATTTTCCACAGCCGTAGTGTAATTTCATTGATCGTAATCGTTGAGACTCCATTTGTAAACATTGCATGAAACCCCCAAAATGACATCTTAGCGTTGGTCTGGGGTACASGGTTCCTTTTCCACAATTAAATGGTTTTTGGGGGTTTATGTGTCTGGATTTGATGTACATCTAGTCTTGCAGATGTATAAATAGGTACAGTATTAAAAATGTTTGTGGGCCTGGTTAAAAGGCCATCCGAAGCGTCAAATGTGTGGGTTTTTTTTACACTGACATAGCAGAGTGAAAATCATTATARATCGATATAGTAGTAAAAGGGAATATAGGAAAATAAAAACGAAATGGAAGAAAAAAATGAAGAAATACCCAATTCCGCTAGAATAAGAGTAAACCTTCAGTCTAGAGGAAGATTTCCAAGTTTGTTGATCGCCGCTCGATTGGCTGCCAAACACAACTGAATCTTACCGGAAGTGGTACAACTGATAAAAAGGATTGCCAAATTATTCATACGTCATTAAAACAGGAAGTCATCCCAACAATTACAATTCACGAGGTTTAAATTACGCCAGCTATTTCAGCGGAAAACAGAAAGGTGCAAGAAAGAYTGCGGAAACGCAAAATATGTAAAACTATAGAAGTTGCAGTGTCATCATCATTACCAGCATTGAGAGGTATAGAGAGGTTACTTTATTTSCTATTTCTGAGTAGACCAGGAATCATGTATTCACATCGACTYSGKTTYMA